AGTTGTTCAAAAGGTATTTTGCTAAATGATAAACAAGGTTGAATCTATTTAACCGGAAGTTGTGCCATTTTTGCCTCCAGCCAGGTGGCGGCGGTAATGACACAACTTCCGGTTGTTGCCAATCACGTCATAAAAGTGCACGAAGAAGAAGAAGGAGGCGCTCATCAAAACAAAGAGGAGTATCATTACGTTTCGTACAGGTTAACAATCCTTTCTTCTTTAACTAGTTCCTGTTTGTAATATATTTTATAAAATCACTTCCGGTCATCAGTAATAATGTAAGTGTAGCGCTAGCTAACATGCTACTGAACCCCAGACAAACAGATGTTATCCAGCTGCTGGGACAAATCCTTCCTGCCTTCATTTACCAGTAAGGTCCCAGTTTGTTTATGTTCACTGCTTGCTTTGTAACAGCACCGTGTGTTTTTATTCATACTGCAGAGAAACAAAGAAAGAAAGAAAAAGGCTTGATGGATGCTGGAGAGATGATTTAAAGTCCAACAACACAACTACACAACTACACAACAACACAACCCTGGTGTGTAAACCTGGGTCGTGTTTGTGTTTTTCCTCATTATAACAAGTAAAATGTTCCAGGAAACGTAAATAAAAACGACACACGTCATTTTCATGACAACCTAAATACGTTTTCAGGCTAAAAGAGTCCCTCAGTTTGTTAGCAAAATATCTGTCCTTCACAACAAACATCCAATGGAACCATTAAAACTGTTTGACTGGTCTCACTTAATGATTATTTAATATGAGACATTCATTCTGTGCTGATTTAAATAAAACTTGATAAAGTTTAACAGTCAGCCTGGTTTAAAACAGATGAACAGAGAAATTATAAACATAATTATAATAATGATTTAAAGTCACATCAGGACAAATACAGGCTGCACATGTGCAAAAATACTAACTCAAAACTTCCCCAGTACCTTTTAATATCTCAACCTGTTTATTATTTAACAAAATACCTTTTAAACAGCTGTGGTTTAACAAAACTCAGAATATAATTATTGGATGTAAAGGAACTAAACCAACATTTTTACAGATAAACTGTCTAAAGTGTGCCTAAATAACTTTATATATCTGTTGAAATTTTGATGTTTGATGTAAATGTGTTTAATTCTGTAATATTTGGTGTAAAGTGTCTCAGTGCTGTCCTCTACAGCAGGACTTCACCTTTCTGACCTCAGGGTCCAGTTTATTCAACAGAACACGAGGTCCAGTCAGACATTACCAATGTATGGATCAAAATGATAATTATTATAAATCTTGGTTTAATTTTTATTGTGTTTACATCATAACTAAACTATCATAACTAACATAACTAAATTAAATACACTTACAGTTTAAAAGTAAAACTCCTGTCAAATAATCACAAGACATGATTATAACAAACATTTTATATTGTAACCTGCCCATAACAATTATTTGAACAAATACAAAGGTCAGTCAACAGACCACTCAGGCTTATCAACACAAATATATATATTTATTAACATAAACAATAACAAAAATAGACAATTCAAAAAATAAAATTGTGGGCATAAAATAAACAAATTAAAAATGTATAAATGTTTCAAATAAAAAACCTGTAAAAATAAATTTGATAAAGTACAAATGAAAATAAAGCTTTTTAAACTTTTACAACCAGAAGCTGCTCTTCATATTAGTGACAAACAATAACAGTAACAACAGCTTTTTGACAAGTTTAAAGTTTCTTTAAAATATATTCAAAGTGTTTAAAAATAAACTACAAAAAGTAATTTAAAGTACAAATTAAAATATAGTTGTATCTGTAACTGTATTTGATAATGTTTTGAACTTTTAAAATATTACATGGTAAAACCAGAAGCTGCTCTTCATATTAGTGACAAACTTTGGTGTTTTTGATGAGTTACTTTCATTTTTGTTTCTACTTTTCATTTAAAATAAGTTTCCATTCTCAGCAGGTTTCTAAGGTTCTTCTTCTACATATTAAAAAGTTGTTAAACATCTGAGTGGTGCACTACTGCTACTAGTGGTGAGAAAGTGTATTACACCTTATTCAAAATCAATGTGGTCCCACGGCCCTCTGTGGCCCAAAGTTAAAAACTGTTGTTCTTTTGAGGCCCTCAAGGTGGCGCTGTGGGCCACAGGTTAATAATCTCTGGTCTACAGTGGCTGTTTGGTTAAAACAGTACTGGTGTTACTGGGTACATGCTTGTGTACCGAGTAAGGCTGGTACTGAGTGTGTATTCTGTACTCATGTTTGTGTTTTAGGTGAGTGATCCCTGGTGTTTCTGAGGGTCAGTCCTGACCCAGGTCACAGGGACCTCCTGCAGCATGGCGGAGCTGCTGGGACAAAGGAGCTTGTTAGGTTTTGGTGTGCTGCTGGCGTGGCTGCTGCTGTTTCACCTGCTGGTGAACATCTGGCTCCTGTGCGTGTTCACCAGCCTGCTGCTGGTGCTGGGAGGCTGGTTCGGCTCGCAGGCCATCCTGGAGTCCAACAGCCTGATCCACCTGGAACGGTTCATCCCACTGGAACAGGTAAATATACAGTCCCTGTGTTAGTTTCACTTTTTATTTTTAATAACAGCTGAAACATGAGCAGACTCTTTATACTGACGAATGGTTTCATCACAGTTAAGATGCAGCAGAACATATAAAACTAATGTTTCTTCATCCCAGGTTCAGACGTCTGCAGAAGATGAACAGCGTTTGGACCAAGAGATCCACAACACCGTGGGAAAAATCGTAAAGGATTTCGTCACCTCGTGGTACTCGACTGTGTCCTCACAGAGCTGCTTTCAAACAGATGTTCAGGAAGCCATGATCTCCGTGGCCATGGAGCTCAAACAGCGTGCGAGACGTGTCGACCAGCTGGTGAGAAGAGACACAACAGGATGATGCTTTCACACATGCACAAATGTCAGATTTTTACATTTGATTTCAGGTTCAGCACAAGTAGATAAACTGCTAAAAGCACTTTGACAGGTCAGGTTTTTATAAAACACAACCGTGAGCCATCACATCAAAATGACCTAATGACATTTTCAGATTCTTGTCTTTAAAAGCTACATTTTGATACCTGGATCATCCTGATATCATAATTAAATCCATATATATGACTTAATTTGTCTTGTTGGTTACAATAATACATAAATATTTGGTCTGAATCCTAATTTTATCTCATTTTAATGAGGAATTTTTAATGTCCTTATAAAGAGGAAACCTCAAATTATATTTGAATATTGAGATTTACCAGCTAAAAAGAAACAAACTTTACTAACTCACAGAGAAAATCTCAACATTTTAAGGTGTTTTTCCTCAAAATCAGTTTTTTGTTGCTACTTCTCAAAAAAGTGCTTCAACATTTAGTTTTATGATTATATTTCAGACAGTTCATTCAAATGATACATTAATAAGGTTTTTATTCATTATATTTTGACTAAATGCAATTTTTGTTAACATTTTAGTCAAAACACTATATTTACCTTTTTCTCCTTAAACCACTTTTAGTCTGAATCCTTGTTTCGATGTGACGGCTCACATATGACTATGATGCTACGTTCACACTGAACGTTTTGAGCAGTAAAAAGCTCCCAGCACCTCCAGCTGGACTCACTGCATTCAGACCGGACAGAGACTAGATGTGTGTCTGAAGAGGGAGGACAGTCTGGGGTTTTTATGGTCTGTCTTTAATGACAGATAAAATAAAGATAAAATAAAGAAAATGACTGATTTATTTACTAAGAAGTGAACGTTGCACCCAGCAGATCATTAAGTCACCAGATGATTTGGAGGTGGTTTGTTGGGTTAGTTTCAGTCCAGGAGCTGTGAGCTGATGGACCTTTGTCCTGAGCCCAGTTGAACACAGCGGACATTTGTCCTGAGCCCAGTTGAACACAGCGGACATTTGTCCTGAGCCCAGTTGAACACGGCGGACAGTTTAAGGAGCTGCTGACCCACATCCCTGCTGATATCTCCTGTCAGACCACCCACTGCAGACGGTCCGTTTCAGCTGAAGAGCTGCCGTCCGTCTGATCCAGGAAACTGTCACGTGGAAAAATGAGTCTGATTGGTGTCGAGACGCGTCGAGCAGTAAAAGTTCACAGTTTTGAACTTGGGTGTCAACTGCTCACAGATAACACTCGGCCACACCTTCCTCATTCTTTGTGCACCATGCTGAATGGACCTGACACGTCACAAGACCCCAGAGGCACGTCTACCTTAGACTACATGTAAACTGTCACTCCTGCAGCTCAGCACACGTTGGGTGTGAACGTAGCTTTAGGATCGTTATGGTTTACTGTTAATTGTTTTTAATTTATTTTATTTGTAGGTTAGTTTAGTCATATATTGCCAGGTCACAATAAAAGTCAGCTCATGGTGGGGCTGTATAAGTAATGTACAGTTGGCCTAAGGTAGACACTGACCCTCTACCATCCTGTCATCAGTTACATCACCACACCTGTGTCCACCTGGCTGTGAACGACACCTGAGCAGGAGGACTTTAAATATTCTGACAATAAATGAAGAAATATAGAGTTTTATGAGGAGCCCACGAGGGGACGTGGGGGATTTCTTTCTTTTGTGTTACCTCGCAAAAGTTTGTTTTGTATATGAACTGAATTAAATCAGACTTTTATTTTGAAATATCTGGTTACCAAAACAGGAAGTGTCACCACAAGTTCGTGACATTGACATTGATGTTGTGTGGCTGCACCGTGTTAAAATAAGACATCCTTCCATGTGTGTCTGTGTGATATATTCATTGTGAAGCTGAATTAAAGCAGTAGGCTAACTCACTAATGGTGAACATGTGAGTTTGTTAATAAACCGGCAGCACAACAGTGATAAATGACTTTTGTGTGGGAACACAAAAAGAAAAGAATCCCCCACGTGTCCTCGTGGTCTCAGTAGTTTAAAAACAGAGAATAAGCCGTCTAAATGTCCCCTCCCTCCTGCTGTAGAAAAGTTGTCGTGTCACAGGATCACTCCCTCCTCCTCGCTGCACGTCACGCAGAGCCAAGCTCCAACAACCGTAGTGTTTTCAGAGGAAAACCTTGTTTTTTCTGTAGTGTTACACACAAAAAGAGGTGGACCTTCGTTCAGTCGAGAGAGAGAGAGAGAGCAGCTGATAAGTTCAGCAGCCAGAAGCTCATGTATGGCAGGCTGATGCTACATTTATTTGGCTTCACCACACTTTCATTCCAGTTATTTGAAATAGTTTTTTGACATATCACACTGTAACATTTTAGACAACTTAAAATGTTTTTATGTCTAAATGACCGATTTAACTTGAAGTCCTGGTTATAACATACACTTTATTTTGAAATTGTTGACAATTTTAGAAATGTTTTTGTTTATTGTTGAAACTGTTTTACAGTAAATATAAAACCTTCTTTTGTATTTCTGTTATGTTCATTTGTACTACAGCAAAAATGCTGGGTTTGATTTAGGGTTCGGCAATATTAGCAAAATAATTAATCAGGATTAATTGTGGTATTTAGCTGATAAATATTAATTTGATGATTAATCCCCTGCAGTCCCTGGACACCCTTATGTCCTGGTCACATGACCAGTTTATGTTTTCTCTTTGTAAAAATCTGTTCCAAATGGAGTCAAAATTACAAATTTCAGGCTATACATCAAATTTTAAATTGTGTTGATAGATAAATTACTAATCTTTTTTTAATGTTTGTCATATTTGAAGCAGAGAAGAGCAGCGAGTAGACTCTGCCTGGTGGCATTAATCATATTAATCATCAAGTGCCAAAAATTAATCGATTTATGTTTTTCTGACAACTAAACGCTCACGATACGATTATGCCCAACCCTAGTTTGATTAAGATTACAGTTTTCTGCTAAATAAATGCTCTAAAAATTAAATTATCTTTACTTTTTATGATAATTTTCTACTGTGATATACAGGTGCTGGTCATAAAATTAGAATATCATGAAAAAGTAGATTTATTTCAGTAATTCCATTTAAAAAGTGAAACTTGTATATTATATTCATACATTACATACAAACTCATATATTTC